CTGCTGAGTACTGATTCGTTGCTGCAATGGAAAAAAAGCAAAATAAGGTCTCTAAAGTAAACAGAGCAGTTACTTCTAAGTCTCTTATCAATTATTTATGGAATGACTCAGATACATCTCCCTTACTGCTCAAGTCTACTGGGAAAGTGACTTCCCTATCACTGTTTAAAAACCCCAACACACAGGAGGTGGTAAAACAGTGGTGGACAGAAAACTACACAATGAAGAGAGCCGGTAACACAGAGAAGTTCTGCCTTTTGAGAATTACTGCCTGTTCTTCAGGTACTGAATCTTAAATCCATCAACCTGAGAGTAAAGAAGTTTGACTTCCTTGAACCAGGCACACAGGTGGTAGTGGAGGAGCTTAGCTGGTGCCAGTTAGAGGGCTGACTCATGTTGCCACACCTCATAGCTCTGTGCTAGTTTTATTCCCAGCAAGTTCTCACTGGGCTGACAGGAGGGCAGCCTACAGGGGACACGTGGCCAGAGCAGTCTGCTTATCCACATGCTTCTGAAACACAGATCTGACACACAGGTGTGCTCCAAGCACTGCTCTTTTGGGTGCCAGCTTCTGAGGCTCCCTACAGAATCATCCTACTCCTGGGTGGTTGCTCCAGTTCGTGTGAACAGCAAATGCTGCCAGTTTATAGCCCTGAATCACTCTCCCATGTAAAAGGTGACAGCATTAAACACTGGATTAAGACCCCTTCACCCCAAAACATCTTCTAGGTATTTGTCTTCTTTGGAAGAAACAGGCCAGGATTTCTGCAGTACAGGTTACAGCACACCACAGGTATGCTTCCACTCCAAAAAACAGCTGATTCAGGAACATGTGCCCTGTCTCCTCTTACAGCCCAAAGCACTAGCAAGTATATGGCAGAGGCACAGAAGTGTACCTTGTTTTATTGCCAGTAAAGAACAGTCTGTCTTAAATGCTAAGTTCCCCTAGAGTGGTACTGACTGATAATTTAAGTGGAAGAAATACCCAGCTACCTTTGAGGACATCTACAGCTATGTCCTTCGTTAGCTCATGCACCAGGTAGTACTGTGCATGTCTGCCCATCTTCTGAAAGGTCATTCTTCAGCACCTACCCCTCTGCACTCTCTTTACTCACACTACAAAGTAAGCCTCAGGGACTGACTCTGGAGTGGGGAACAATTTAACAAAGCCCAGTATCACATAATCTGGGCAAGATTTCTCTAGGCAAGTGCTGCCTTAGTGCAGTCTGGGTGCATGTCATGGTGCCCAGAATCTGAAACACTTCATGTCCCAGTTCTGTTGGCTGCTCCTTGCTGAGGAGCAAGGACAAGTACTGCAGAAGGGGCAGGTGAGGACAAAATGACAGGAAAGGGCTTCCCATCACAACCAACACCAGATCAGTTCATGCTTCCTAGTTTACAAATCCTAGATACCTTTCTACATCAAACACAGATCCTTTCCGCCCCACTTGGCTTAGGCTGCAGTGAACCCCATCTCCACATTTAAAAGCAATCTCTACTCACACAACTTTCCATTCACTTAATAAAAGACTCTGATATTAGAGGCTTCAGTAACTATAGCACTCAAGGACAAACTGCCCTAAAAAAGTGAAGTTAATTATGACGCTTACAGTTTCCCCTACCCTAAAAGCAAGTCCACTGAAAGCCAAGTCTCTCTGTGGGTTTAGACAACCTCCCAAACTCACCTGAGGATTCTAAACTCATCTACCACAAGCTTCTTTTCATAAGAGAAAATTTAAGGAACGTTATGTCAAACATAGTCCTGGAGCAGCAAAGCACTCCTCACACATGCTAACAATAGACATTGGTTTCACTTACCAAAATAAATATCTGCCTGAATAATTAACCAGAAGTGGTTGTTTGCATTGATGGTCAGTGCGTAGCTCACCAGCTCTTTCACTGTCACAGCCACAGCTTCAAAGTCCACTGACTGGAGGCTAAAGGATAAAAACCAGAAGAAAAATAATTCCTAAGTCATCAGTTTGCTTTTTTAAACATGGATCCAATTTCCCATCTAGTTTAAGTCCAAAGCACCTTGCATGAAGTGTCAAGCAAAAATAACTCAGGAAGACTTAGTGCCTACTGTTGAATTGTTTCACTGCTGCAAGTCTGACAGAACAAATACACCCTTCACAGACATCAGAACTCTACCTGGGGCTTACACTGCAAGAGGGTTCTGTGCAAAAACACATCTGCTCAGTTTCAAGGACAAGGTGTTTGAAGACAACACCTGAAACCGCTACAAATTTATCACAGCATCCACAGGCCACAGCGATCTCTGGAAACCTATGGAACAGGCTTAGAAAGGAAGGAGGGAATGGCTTGGCACATTGCTTGGGCAGCCGTTCCTGAAGTTTGTGTGGAACTTCCAGTTTTAAAAACATGTTTTTACTCACCCTTCTGCTAAATTCTGGTAACACTGAACAATTTCCTTCTGCCTGACTTTACAATACACACTGAAATCTACACTGGGAACAATAAGACTATTCAATCAGACCGGTTAAAGACAGATTAACCACACTAAGCTTTACAATCTCCCTCTCTCACAGGAATCACCTCTCTCCCAGCGCATACAAAGAATCTGAACCAATGAGGTTCTAGCCCCACAGAGCCTTTAAATGTCACTGGAGAAATATAGTTCAATCCAACCAGAACAAATCAATATATACTATATGTCCCTTTGGCTATTATGATGGCAGAAGTCACACTCACAGTAACTAACACACAGCAACCAAAACCAAACCAATTATGTGAACACATACTTTGAAACCTGTATTTTTAATTATCATCTTACTTGGGGATGGAGGAGGGCCAGATGGAAATGTGCTCTGCTGCAATATCATTCACAATGTCTTCCTAAGGGAAGAAAGATTAAGAGAATTTACAAAGAGAAACCTTTCCAGAAAGCCAAGGATGATGTTTATGGTATGTACTAACCCGAACATTATGAAGCTTGACAAACAGGGACAATATTGTGGTTAAAACCAATGGTTCCTGTAAAGGGAAAAAAAACAGTAAATAGCATCCCCATGAACTACCGAAACTCCAGTTTCTTCCCTAAGCTCTAAAGCTATGCAAGAAGTTCCGACATCACTACATTGAAATAGGGCAGTATTTTGTTAGGAATCCTGCAACACAAGGGTATTGTGAGAGCTTCTGAGGGAAGTCTTTAATTCACATTTTCCCAAATAACACCTTGAATATAAACTTCACTCAGGTTTTCCACATTTCTGTTGTTTCCGTGGCTACTGCCTAGCCTTAAACTTGAGCTAGGTACACTACAACTTAAGCACTTACAAACCCACAAGCTATGAACAATTTCCATTCCTCTTACTTCTGCTGCCTTTATGATGCACGTAGCTGCCTCCTCCTCCCTCCAAAAGGAATGCTTTGCTTTGAGACAGCTGCAATAAGATACATTCCTAATGGTAACAGATCTCCACTATCAGAATTCAGGGTAATTTTTTCATAGACTATGCAACACTGCTGTATGATAGCTATAGCAAATCCAGGAGTTCTTCAGCCGTACAACACACCTATAGGGCTGTCAGACTTTCTGGAATTTAAAAGGAAAAGTCCAGAAAAAAGCTCTATCAAAAGGAAGTTCTGGTTGCAAACACATTCTCAAGACCACTATAACTTACCCGAAGCTTTTTGATGAAGGACAGCAATTCACTCCTAAATTAGAGACACAAAACCCCATGTAAGTAACTGTTCACAACAAAGAATACATGCAAAGTTAATACACTGGAAACTAGGTCCGTAAAGCAAATCCTTCACCTGCCAAAACAGCCTTTCACCTTTAAGTTCACAAATGCAGGGTACACAAGTGAAAACACTCAGGCAGGTCACTCACTTCTAATACAGTCAAGTAGCAAGTTTTACATTTAAAAGAGGTTAAAGAAGAGGTATGTGCTATTCCATCAAGCTATAAAAGGCAGGAAAATCACTTTGTAGCTAGTTAACCATTGACTCCAAAAGGGAAAGCAACTGAGCTGTACTGTATCTCTTCCAGCTAAGATTGCAACAGTGACCTCCAGGCTTACAGAAGAGGGTGTGCAGTGACCATTTACGATGTACACTGATTTCCTCATCATGCCACACCAGAACTGTCACCATAAAACAACCCAGACAAGCACAGCCTGTTTGTAAAAGGTTTCACTGCCTCTTTTCCATAACAACAACGGGGTCACTGCCCTTCACTGTTTGAATCAGAGGGGTCAGAAGAGGTTCAGCATCCCAGAGTACACCTGTACTGCTTCCTTTTCCGTGCCTGAGTACAACTGAAACCTACAGCAAGCACATACCCTCTCTCACCCATCCCACGGCAGGATAAGCAAAAGCAGCTGGTCTTAGGTACACATTAACCTGATTAGCTCAAGAAAGGCAAAGAAACAGTCAATAGTTTGACAGGGGCATCTTTCCCAAGTTTATAACATGGAAAGCTGTTTGATATAATCATACATCCCAGAATTTACCGTAACAGGCAACTTTTAATTAGGCTTGAACATAAGAACAGGCTGAAAATATTTACTGAGAGAACAAATCGGAGAGTCCTGAATGAATCAATCCATCAGTCAATTAAACTAAGACTGGCAGAGGTTAGGGAACTGACGGTGAAATTACTCCAGTCAAGAACAGTTTCTTCCTTTCCCTCTTCCCAGGAGCTCAGCTGAACAAGAATTTCATTTCAAGACTGAATAACATTTAGCTTTAAATTCAGAAACCTCAAGATACACATAAACACCTATGCTGGTGTTTATGTAGGTGTTTAATGCAGTTACAAGGGTAGTTAATCACAGAATCCTAGAACACCAGGTTGGAAGAGACCTCAGTGATCATCTGGTCCAACCTTTCTTAGCAAAGCATGACCCCAGAAGGCCCATCACCCTGCCCAACCAAATCACAAACACAAATCCAGAAAGTGTAACCTACCACTTCCCTGGGGAGATTATTTCAATGGCCGATTATTCTTATTCTCAGAAATTGTCCTCTTGCGCCCAACTGCAATCTCCCCAGTAGTACCTTGTACCCATTACCCCTCATCTTTTCCATGTGACTGACTCCTTGTAAAAAGGAAGTCTCCATCTTCTTTGTAGCCACCCTTTAACTACTGGAACATGGTAATAAAAGGTCTCCACTAAGTCTTCTTTTCTCTAGGCTGAACAAACCCAGTTCTCTCTCCCAGCCTTTCTGTATAAGGCAGGCTTTCCCAGCCCTTGGATCGGACCTTTCTCTGGACCCTCTCCAGCCTGTCCACGTGTTTTTCTGTATAGCAAGTACCAAAACTGAACAGAGTTGCAGTCAATGGAGCCTGCAGAACAATTTCAGTTAATGAAAAGCAGACACCTCCAGTTGGTCAGCTAAACTGCCCTCTAGATGCTACTGACTTTACTGGAAGATCTACACTGGTTATAATGGAGCACAGACACATATGCTTCAGTGTCTGTATTCTGACCTTAATCCCATACACTCCTTTTCTCTCCCTCTGAAAATGAAAGGCAACACATCACCACTAATATCCAACACTGCCATTGGGTGGACTGTTTACTCAGTAAAGACCTTTAGCTGCTGCCACCATTCTGACAGTGGAATCCAGACAATTTCTGAAGGGAACAGGTGGTCAGACATACCATTCAAACAATCTTCAAAAATAATTTAAGCAGACACACCTGTACATAATGCCCAGTGTAGACTCCCTGTGTTTTATCAAACTCACTCTGCCATCATTCCCCCGTTTATGCTGGTTAGATACACTGCAGATTTGTACCACAACTTCCCAAAGGTCTTTAGCTGTCCGTCTGCTTTCTTTGGGACCTGGAAGTTCTTTGCAAGTAGCAGCCAGCAATTGTCCCAGCTATACAATGCAAAAGAGAAAATACAGTAAGCGCAGCTTCTCTGGACACTGACTACAGCAAGGGCATTTAAAACGGTTAAACGATTATTTTAAGTTGCAAACTACAAAGCCATGTGACTAAACTCTGCAGCAGAGGACATGAGGAACCTGGAAGACTGGAATTAAACAGCAGAGGAGTTATCCTTTTAGTAGTTTTCTTAGGGTATATTTTATTATTACAAGTTCCAGAAAGCAAGCTTTACACTCTACTACAGTATACAGCATAAAACCTAAACCCTGTAAAATACAGTTTTATAAAAACTGTCTCTAATAATTAATCTAAACTGATACTGACACCCTCTGCTATAGAGAAAAAATTGAGGCTCAGGACAGAAATTAGGAAATATCACAGGTAAGCAGAGCAGGCCAAAAATGAACCTGTCCTGGAACATGATCTGCTTTCAGCTTCACTGCCAGACTCTGAAGCAGAAACAGTCCTGTAAAACCATTCTGAAAGCTAAGTTTCCAAAAAACCAATGCTTGGATGTCTCCAAAAATTCAAAACTGGTGTTGGGTTAAAAAACAGAACCACCACAGCGCACCTGGAAAACAAGTGTCTTACAAACAGAACAACAACCAGATACATTTTTATTCCCCTCAGATCTATACACTTTTCATTCCCCTCAGCTAGAACTCTCAGCCTGAATTCATGTAGGAGGTGACTCCTTTACAGAAGTGCTACAGGATTTCAATCACAACCACACACACCTGATGCTTACGAAACCAAGCTCAGCTGGCAGCCAACAAGGGCTAAGTGCAATTTGTTTCATATGCCCTTGCAGCATAGCCTTCACGTCTTTAGTGACCTGTCAAACACACTGGCTGCTTAGCCCTGCTGTCTCCTACACCAGACCCAAGTCATGACAGCCACAAAACCCAACACTCTAGAGACAAAAGGGCACATGCTTTTGAAAGTACAAAAGATCCCAGCACGAAAAAGTAAATTACAGCCTGAAAAGGCTTTGAGACTGAGCACTATTTACCTTCACATAAGGATTAGTTTGAACCAGAGGTAATGGAACTTGCATGGTCAAATACTCATTCTCACACCAGTTTAACAGGAAGGCAACACATTCTTCAGCTATAACTTGTCGAAGAGGAATATCTGGAAGAACAGATGTTCTTTGCTTTATTTATTATTTTTTTTAACAAACACAGTGTTATATGAAAGCAAGCAAAACCCATTCCCCCGGATTAGATATTTCTGTTCCATAGCTATCACAGAAAAACATGATACTCAGTCCAACAAGAGACCTCACCTCTGAAAGCTAGAAGCAACGACTTCTCTAACCACAACAGCATTACATTAATCCCTCAGCGTGAAGCCATGTTTTATCCTGTTCAAGCCCTTTAAATGGCACTAGCCAGTCAGTGTTTAGCCGTATGTAGGCTTCATGACATGCTGTTCTCTTTTCCAGCTTCCAAGAACTAATCAGACTTCTAAAGCCTCACTAAAACCAGTGTCAAACTTCACTACTGTTTTTCCAATTACACTTCTAAATGGTAAACCTATCACATAAAGTTGTTTTCTTTATTCCTTTCTCACAAGCTTTGTACTTTATTGCGTCCCACAAATGACAGCAATGTACTTACCAGGAACTCTCATTTCCAAATATCCTCGGACTCTGCTTATAAGGTCAGAAGGAGGACGCTCTCCAGAAGCGCCAGGTCCAGCTTCATGAGTGTAAATGTCCAAAAGTAGCATTTCATTCAACATGACTTGGCGGAGTTTTGGAGAAAACTCTGTCACAAGCTCCAAGCAAGCAGCAAAAAGCTGTTTTGCATGGACAAAATCCTGCAATGAGAAGGATATGCATTAATGATTCCTAATGGATTCATAAAGGAGAAGACTAAGAGTTAATGCACTGTTCAGCTCTCAATATGTGAATCTTATGGCCTTGCTATTAAGCTTAACAGTTCCAGATTTTTTAAAGAAAACAAGAAGTAAACATACCAGAAGTAACTATTGGCATACTGGGTGCAGTGGTTTTTTTTTTATCTTGTAGTTTAGCAAACTACAGTATTGTCAACTACAAGGAAAATAAACCAGCATTCCAATAAATTCCTCGTGTGAAACTGGGTTTAGATACAACATGATTTAGTGCGTCATCATCAAAACTTCGTATGAATGAAATAATCTCCAAGCCCAACTAACTGGAAAGCCATTATCCTTGGTCTGTTGATGGAATTCTTGAGACAGAAATATTAAACCATCATATGACACACAGGACTTGTTACTATCTCCCTCACACCCCATTTTTACAATTCTTTCTCTCAAGAAGGGCTTTCTGTATTTTCAGTGTTGCTGAAATTCAATTGCTCAAACTCACTCACCAGTACCTTTAGATGACTTGCTCACCTTAATCGCACAGCAGTGTAATCCCTTTGCCATAAGGATGTAGACCAAATCCCTAGTCAGACTGTCTTTGATTCCTAAAATAACATTGCCGTAAACATTTGGTACTTCCCACTGGGAGAGAAATATATAGGACATTTGCACAGAAACAGGTTTTAGAATTCACGTCACTTCTCACAATGTTATAAACAAAACTCAAACACTTACAATTATTGCCATTTAAGTGCCAAGTCCTTCATTTTTATATCTAATCAGAAGTAATGTACTGCTCTGATGGAAGTTCGATAAAGAAAGCTAGCTACCTTACTTTGCTCATACTCTGAATCTGCAATAATTGGGAGAGGGGGAAAAAAAAAGACAAGAAATCCTTACTAAAAAAAAAAGTGTAATAATTGTATCTCTTCCTCTCTTCTGCTGCCAGCTTTTAACGTCAGTTTAAAAGTTTAAATACTTAAAGTAATACTGCTGACTAGTCAGAACAACACTGAAAGCAAAAGCTACAGAAATCTGTTTTCTCACAAGAAAAGCCTACGATTCAGCCAGTAATTCCTTAAAAGTTACACATTTTGCTTTAATACTTCCAATAGAGAATGAGAGTGTACGTATTTACCATCATTCTTATTAAACCACCATTATGCAGAAAAAGGGAAAAAAATTAACCATGCTGAGATCTATGACAAGATGTTTACTGTTCATTGCAGCATGACACCTAACCAGACCTTGAATTGCACTTATGAGCAGATGAATTACCTTGTTTGAAATTGTCCAGAATTGGCGTTCTGAAGTCATACCATGCAACTCAATTAAGATCTGTCGAATCCTCCAAGGATCTACTGACAGTATGAGCTGATGCTCAAGCTGGCCAATATTGACACTTGCTGAAGCTAGAAGAAAAGCAATCAGGTCTCCAACACATTCCTTCTTAACATAGATGCTTGTATTCCTTTAGTATATAAGAAAATTTAAATATACCAGTGTAAGAACAGCAGATACATCAATGCTTCTGAAGGTTACATACATCCTTTTGTGCCTTTCCAGAAACACCATGTGCTAGCTTCCCAGCTCCCCCAACCAAAAGGGCAACTTACAATGCCCCCTTTTCTCACAGCAGCAGCTCTGAGTATTCCCTTACCCTTGTCACAGTAGTGTTCCTGTACAGCCTTAGTGAAAATATGTATTTTCACAACTGGCGTTAAGTCAAGGCAAGGTCAGTTCTTTCCAGCTTCAGTCACCTACAGGCACCTCTTGTGTCAGCTTTGACTTGTTTAGCTGCACAGCCCGACAGCTGTACCTGGGAAACGAACTGGCTGAAAAGGTTTGTTTCACTTTGGCAAGTTTAAAACTTCATCTGGACATTACTCCTGGGCCAGCTCACCAAACAGTCAGACAAGCATTAGTACTCCTCTAAATCCAGAGGCAGTTTGCCCTTTCCGGCAACAGTAACAATAGCCAGATATAGCTCAAACTAAGTGCCACACCTCTCTCACTTGGTTGGATGGGGTTTTGAACAACCTGGTCTAGTGGAAGGCGCTCCTGCCCATGGCAGGGAACTGGAGCTAGATGATCTTTAAGGTCCTTCCAACCCAAATCATTCTATGATGACACATTCATTTGAGCATATCTATTATACTCAGTTGAGATACAAGCAACATACAAGCAAATAATAGTCATCTTCTTGATAAAGTAGGACATTCACCAACAGAAAATGGAAAGTATTCTCTCTGAAACCATTATCTCAAACTTTTTCATACAACAGACCTGCACATAACTTCAAGCATGGAAACAGGTCACTCCCTGCATACAAGTTAATGGAAATGCTGTGAAAAATACCTGGGATATCATAAAAAGAAGCCACAGGTTTTGTGCACAGATTGATTCGAGGTGATCTCTTCCGCATTTGATCAATGAGGAGCTTCCGTTCATCATCTTTCAGCAATTTCATGAACAGCTCATGAGATGAAATCATGAAGACAAGCTGAAGATCTTCCAAACCCAAACACAAGTTTCTAAACAAATGAAAAAGTTAATACATGAGCAAGCAGGAAGAAGCCGCTTATTTTTTCAGCTGTAAGTTCTCAAATAATTTATTGTATTGCATTACACTGCTTTCAAAGTGTGAATTCATGTTATCTTAGTATGGCTACATACTTGAGAAATGCTGCCATTTTTCTCTTCAATGCTTCAGAAGCATTTTCCAAGTTTAATGATTTTGAACAAACCTGGGAAAGAAAGCAGAAAATAACTAAGCAGCCCCTTAGAACATTTACAATTAGTTACACACAGTGTTTCTACCCAGTTTTCTGACTCACAATTAGTATCAGCCAGTAACTCCCTCTCTCAAGTGAGGCACCAGTTATCTGATAAACACTGTAGCCATCACAGATGGATCAGTTTCTTTCAGCCTGCACAAGGCA